ATGGTAATTTAATTTTATAAATTAATAATAAAAGATTACTTATTCTTGCTTTTAAGAAGGTGATTAAAGTTTTTAATATTAATTAAAGCGGGAAATACAAAACAAAGATTTTCGCAAAAATTTCGAAAACGAATCGATCAATTTAAAAAAAATAAATACTAACATGTAGTACCTTAAAAGACCTTTAAAATGAGGTATCACTTGACACCCCTTTCCATTTAAGATTTTTAAGGGGTTGGTTTCTGGCGGCGGGGGGTTGAAGTGAGTGAGTCAATTTTTGCATAAAAAGTTGTCCCCCTTGGTTTTATTCTTTACCTATTTCAGCGATTTTCTTTTTAAACTTCCGGATTTACAGAAATTGAAGTGGAAAGTTTTGAAATGAACACCCTGTATAATTAAGAAATAAAAGAAAAAATATTTTGCTGTTTTTTCATGGTTTACATTTATTTTAGTTTTACTTCTCTCACACAATATAACATAACCCTTTTTTGGATTTTGAATTCCTCTTCTTTGGATTTGATTTTTTGATATATATTTTTTGAGAAAGCTAATCACCTTCCATTATTTTCACTAAATTTTTATGCATGATTTATTTCATGAGATGAAATAATAAGAAATAATAATAAGATGTTGGGTGGCACAGAATGGATATCCGCCGGGAGTTGCACAGTTTGGTTTTGTTTCATAAAATCGTCACAACACATTTACCGACATACTTGTATGAGAGGATTACTTTTAAAAGAGCTAACAATGCTCTACAAACGAGATTAAAATATGGCATATATCCACCAAAATACAGAACCTCTTTGTTTCACAGGTCTTTTACGTATCACATATATAAGTCATATGGAACGCTACACCCTATGATCAAAAAACTAAATATCATTAATTTCAAAAAAACACTATATAAAGATAAATTTTTGGAGCAATGTGCAGCCTTGTCATAGTTATTCATTTGAATGCATTTTTTTTTAACGTTCAGAGCAGGAGAGGGAGGAATATTCAAGAAATTGTATTGTCGTTGTCGTGGGACACGTGTAGTATAATTAATATTAAGTTTATGTATGTGGTAAGGTTGTCATGTGGTATCACTTGACACCCCTTTCCATTTAAGATTTTTAAGGGGTTGGTTTCTGGCGGCGGGGGGTTGAAGTGAGTGAGTCAATTTTTGCATAAAAAGTTGTCCCCCTTGGTTTTATTCTTTACATATTTCAGCGATTTTCTTTTTAAACTTCCGGATTTACAGAAATTGAGGTGGAAAGTTTTGAAATGAACACCCTGTATATAAATCTTGTAACATGAAATTTCTTTGGCAAATCCTCAAGGCCGCTTCCGACCGAGGCAGTACAGTAAAGTATTGATGTGATATTAATTGTAGTGTGTCATCGGCGAGCAACCTCGGCTAAACTTGAATGGAAAATGAATGATTACGTTTGATTAAGCCGAGGCAACTCTCCCATTGGAGATCTTGTTGCCATAAAAAATTGAAAAGATTTACTTGCATATTCAAGAATAACTAAAAAAATTAAGAAATTATAATAATAATTTTAAAACGATTTTTTTTAAGGTATCGTTATCGAAATTTGGCCAACATTTTTGCGGCGGAACAATTTTAAATTTGGAATACATCGTAACAGCGGCTCATTGCGTTTATAACAATCGAAGACCGTCGGATATTACGGTCAATTTAGGAAGTTTAAAGCAAGGATTAGGCGATAAAAGAAAAGTTACGGACATTTTTATGCACCCCGGTTATGACAATAAAAATTTAAGACACGACATCGCAATTCTTAAGGTATATTTCGGTTTAAAATAATTTTGTATTAATTTTTTTTCTTTTAGATACCTTCATTAGGAAATTTTACTAATTTTATAAAAAATATTACATTACCCGATTCATCTCCAAAAGCAGGAACTAATTGTACTGTAGCTGGATGGGGTGTAACTGAAACGGTAACAAATAAATAATTAAATTTAAAAATATTAAAAAATGTATGTAATGTTTTAGTCCGATTCGGGAACATTGCATTTAAAATACGCTAAAGTTCCAATTATTTCGACACCTCGGTGTAGAGCTAGTTATAAGGATCAATTAAAAAAGGAGATGTTTTGTGCTGGTTATTTAGAAGGAGGATCTGATGCTTGCCAAGTAATAAATAAAATTAAATTCATAAAACAATTTTATTCTTAAATTTCTTTAGGGCGACTCCGGTGGTGGATTAATTTGCGATCAAATATTAACTGGAGTGGTTTCTTGGGGTCACGAATGTGGCGAAAAATATTATCCAGGTGTCTACACCGATGTTTTTTATTATAAAGATTGGATCCGTTCAAAATCTAATTGTTTAAAATTAATTTCGTCGCATCTTATTATTTTTATTTGTTTATTTATTAATTTGTTGTTATTAAAATAAATTGAATAGAATTAATTACTTCTAACATTTTTATTGAGTAATGTAGATTCCAAGAAAATAATTGACATAGTTATATTTCTTATCACAAAAAAAGCTTTCCACGTTTACACTTCAGTTGATTACGTGAATTTAAGCGCAATTACAACTGCCTTCAATTCCTACTAGTTTAGTGTTGTTTTCTGGGTTAAATGGATGTTAATTGTGTTCAAGAGTGAGATGAATGAGGTTGATGAAAAAGCCGATGAAAAACTTAATCAAAAATATAATGAAAAAGTTGATTTTGATGATATTTTGGAATTAGTTGGAGGATATGGACGTTTTCAAAGAAGATTTAATTACATATTTAACGTATTGTTTTTGGCTTTGGTATGTATGGTAATTAGCAATCTATTTTTGGCCTTGAGTGTACCCAAACATTGGTGTTATGTGCCGGGAAGAGAAAACACCAATTTTACTATAGAACAATGGAAAGAAATTACAATTCCAAGGTGAAATTAAGAATTTAATCTTTTTTTCGTTTTATGGCAATATGTTTTTTTTTTCAGAAATCAATCGGGTGAAAATTTAAAAAATGATTTTGCATCTTGTAAAATGTATCGAAATTTCAGTTTGGATCAAAACGAAATTGTTGGTAAATTAAATTCGACTCGAAATAACCAAATACATTTTTATTAATAACTAATTACTGTTTTTAGATTGTCAATTTGGATACGATTTTGATACAACATGGTACACAGAAACCTTCGCTATGAAACACAAATGGGTTTGTGGTAACGAGATAAATGTGGCAAATGCTTTCTTTTTTCAAAAATTAGGAGACATTTTTGGAGGTTTAATTTTTGGCCCAATAGGAGATCAGTAAGTCACAACGAATAATATAAAATTTTTGAAATCTTCATAAACGATCATATCTCAAAAAGTAATTAAGATATCAAGATGATTTAATCGCCATTTTATAGCAAATTTAATCAAGTTTCAACACGCTAAAAATAATTTCTTCATTTTCATAAATCTGGCAGATACGATTCTTTTAATTCATCTCTACATATTCACTTGTCGACAGTTTTGGATTAAAAACAAATTTAAAAAAATCATATCTCAAAAAGTAATTGAGATATCAAGATGATTTAATCGCCATTTTGTAGCAAATTTAATCACGTTTCAACACACCAAAAATTATTTCTTCGTTTCAATAAACTCCGGTGGTACGATTTTTTATATCCAACTCGGCGTCTATTGAGATCAACTAGATGAATATGTCATTTACAACGTCGTGTCTCAAGAACGAATTGAGATACAGTTATGAAATAAAAACCATTTTAAAGCAAATTAAATGAACATTAATTCAGATAAGAATGATTTCTTTATTACTACAAATCTATCTGTTATGATTTCTTTAAGTCGTCTCTACACATTTACTTATCATCTCAAATCAAAAATCATATCTCTGAAAGTAATTAAGATATCAAGATAATTTAATCACCATTTTCTAGCAAATTTAATCAAGTTTCAACACACCAAAAATTATTTCTTCGTTTCAATAAACTCCGGTGATACGATTTTTTAAATCCAACTCGGCGACTATTGAAATCAACTAGATAAATATGTCATTTACCACGTTGTATCTCAAAAACGAATTGAGATACAGTTATGAAATAAAAACCATTTTAAAGCAAATTAAATGAATATTAATTAAGATTAAAATGATTTCTTTATTACTACAAATCTATCTGTTATAATTTTTTTAAGTCATCTCTACNTTTATTGCTACAAATCTGACCGTTATGATTTTTTTAATTCATCTCTACACATTTACTTATCACCTCAAATAAAAAAATCCTATCTCAGAAAGTAATTGAGATATCAAGATGACTTAATCGCCATTTTGTAGCAAATTTAATCAAGTTTCAACACACCAAAAATTGTTTTTTCGTTTCAATAAACTCCGGTGGTACGATTTTTTATATCCAACTCCGCGTCTATTGAGATCAACTAGATAAATATGTCATTTACAACGTCGTATCTCAAAAACGAATTGAAATACAGTTATGAAATAAAAACCATTTTGAAGCAAATTAAATGAATATTAATTAAGATAAAAATGATTTCTTTATTACTACAAATCTATCTGTTATAATTTTTTTAAATCGTCTCTACACATTTACTTATCGCCACAAATCAAAAATTATATCTCAGAAAGTAATTAAGATATCAAGATGATTTAATCGCCATTTTGTAGCAAATTTAATCAAGTTTCAACACACCAAAAATTATTTCTTCATTTCAATAAACTCCAGTGGTACGATTTTTTAAATCCAACTCTGCGTCTATTGGGATCCACTAGATAAATATGTCATTTACCACGTTGTATCTCAAAAACGAATTGAGATACAGTTATGAAATAAAAACCATTTTAAAGCAAATTAAATGAATATTAATTAAGATTAAAATGATTTCTTTATTACTACAAATCTATCTGTTATAATTTTTTTAAGTCGTCTCTACACATTTACTTATCGCCTCAAATCAAAAATCATATCTCAGAAAGTAACTGAGATATCAAGATGACTTAATCGCCACTTTGTAGCGAATTTAATCAAGTTTCAACACACCAAAAATTACTTCTTCGTTTCAATAAACCCCGGTGGTACGATTTTTTATATCCAACTCGGCGTCTATTGAGATCAACTAGATGAATATGTCATTTACAACGTCGTGTCTCAAGAACGAATTGAGATACAGTTATGAAATAAAAACCATTTTAAAGCAAATTAAATGAATATTAATTGAGATAAAAATGATTTCCTTATTACTACAAATGTGTCCGTTATGATTTTTTTAATTCATCTCTACACATTTACTTATCACCTCAAATAAAAAAATCCTATCTCAGAAAGTAATTGAGATATCAAGATGATTTAACCGTCATTTTGTAGCAAATTTAATCAAGTTTCAACACACCAAAAATTATTTCTTCGTTTCAATAAACTCCGGTGGTACGATTTTTTATATTCTATCTATTGAGATCAACTAGATGAATATGTCATTTACAACGTTGTATCTCAAGATTATATTGAGATACAATTATGAAATAAAAACCATTTTAAAGCAAATTAAATGAATATTAATTAGGATAAAAATGATTTCTTTATTACTACAAATCTATATACTTTTAATTCATCTCTACACATTTACTTGTCATCTCAAATCAAAAGTCATATCTCAAAAAGTAATTAAGATATTAAGATAATTTAAACATCATTTTATAGCAAATTTAATCATATTTCCACAAATCAAATATTTTTTCGTTGCCATAAATCTTTAATATGTACCTTTTTAATTTTTTTTTAAGATATGGTCGCCAATTAATTTTTTATTTAACCTTCACAATATTATTTGTGAGTCGCCTCGCAATGTTGTTCACAAGCTCATCAACAACACTCTTCATGATAACGTGTTTTTTAAGCGGCTCAGCAACATTTGGTGTATTCCAATCATCATTGGTAATAGCCTTAGAAATTTGTCATCGAAAAGTTCACGCTTACATGGCAATGTGTCAATGTGTTGGCTGGGCAATTGGTTTTTGTATTATGCCATTTATAATGTGGTATTTAAAAGAATGGAAATCATTTATACTGATGACAACGATTCCGAGCGGAATTTTCTTTTTCTCTCGTCGTTTCATGATCGAATCGCCCCGATGGTTATTTAATAAAGGAAAACGAAAGAAATGTTTAATGGCGATGAGAAAAATTGGAAAAATTAATGGGGTTGATGTTGGTGATGAATTAGAAAGCATGGTTTTGATTGGAAATGAATTGAAACCCGAAAAGGTTTATGGGGCGATGAGTATCTTTTCGCATTGGAGGTTTGCTAAAAATTCAATTATTTTAATTATGGGTTGGGCTATTGAGAATGTAGTGTATTATATTTTAACGATGAATATTATTAATTTGGGTGGAAACCCTTTCATGAATTTCTTCTGGCAAGGATTAGCTGAAATTCCTGGGAATGTTTTGGGGAAAATAGCTGCTGATAAAATTGGAAGGAAATGGTCCGCTTTTATCGCATATGTTGGGCTTGCTTTCGGAACTCTTCCCATTTTATTTACAGTTTATGGTAAGAAAAGTTTATGTAATAAAACGTAACAAAATTTAATTTTCTTTTAGATAAAAATTATGAATACATCACATTAATCTTTGGGGTTTGTTTAAAATTCTTGCTCACGTTTGCTTTCTATGCTATTAATTTACAAGCTTTGGAAACATTTCCTACTGCAGTTAGGCAAAGTGGAACTTCCGTTGGAGGTGTTACAGCTAATATATTTGGATTATTAGGTCCTTACATAGTTTATTTAGTAAGTTAAGTTTCTTTTAAAATATGATTTATTATTTCGAATTATTTAAGGGAACAACAACAAACGCATCCATTCCTTACTTAATTTCTTTCACCTTAGCAATTGTTTATGCATTTGCACTTTTATTTTTACCTGAAACTTTAGGTGAAAAGCTTCCAGACACATTAAACGATGCTCATGTATTCGGTAAAGATCAACCTTTTTTTTATTTCCCAAAACGAATGCATTCAATGGTCCCAAATAAAGAAAATACTCAAAAAATAAGTTAATCAAGAAATAAAAATATTAAGTTTAAATAAATATTTTATTAAAAGCGCCATCTTTTGTCCTTATCCTTACTCAACCACAACATTTCAATCACCATGAAGTTAGCTTCACAGTTATGTCAAAATTTTCACCTGTCACATTACTTCCTTTTTTAGTTTTAAGTCTATATTGTATTTATCATCTAAAACTTTTATGATTTTCAACTAAAAATGGATTATAAGGAAGAACAAAAGAACGAATTTGAGGCTTTAGAATCGATTTATTATGGCGAAGTGACCGGTAAGCTTTTTTTTGACATGTGACATAACCTCAAAATGTTTAATCAAATTGAAATTTTACATCTTTTTAAGTACTTTCATCTGAACCTTACTACAAATTTTCAATTCCGATTAAAACGGAAGCCTTCGAATCGGAATCTGATGGTGGCCTAAGTTGTAGTTTAGTATTTACTTATACGGCAAAATATCCAGAAGAAGCTCCGATAATAGAACTTGATGAAGGTGAAAATATTTCGCAGGAATACGAACGAAAACTATTAGATTACCTACAAACGCAGGTAAAATGAAATAATTTAATTTGTTTTGTGTAAAATTAATTGATTGTTTTAGATTGAAGAAAATCTTGGTATGGTTATGATCTTTACGTTAGTTTCTTCAGCTCAAGAATGGCTTAATGTTAAATGGGATGATATTAAAAAAGCTAGAGATGAAGAAGCTCAAAAAAGACTGAAACAAGAAGAAGAAGAAGAATTAGTAAATTAATTTAATTAATTTATTAAATAAAAAATGTTTAATTATTGTATTTTTTAGAAACGATTTGAAGGTACAAGAGTAACAGTTGAATCTTTCTTGAATTGGAAGACGAAATTTTACGAAGATATGGGTTACCTTAAGAAAAAAGAAATATCTGATAAAGAAGCTAAAAAATTAACAGGAAGAGAACTGTTCTTAAGAGATAAAACAATGAATGAATCCGATCTTAAATTCTTAGATGAAGGTGATGCAGTTAAAGTAGATGAGTCTCTATTTCAAGATTTGGATGATTTGGATCTTGATGATGAGGATGATGAAGATTATAGACCGGGGGATAACTTTGGTGACTCAGATGATAGCATGGATTAAAAGATGTGAAGAGATACAATGAATTTAGGGGGAAGTTTGTTGTATTATAATTGCGCTTATATTGAAAGCGTTGCATTTTTTGCTAATTCTACATTTGATGAAGATCGTTGATTTTTCTTTTTTTTCTATAAATAAATGCGTTTTTAATTAAAATTTGTTTTTTATTTATAATTAAGGCCCACCATAACTAAAAGAATCCCAAATTAATAACCAATTGAGATATCATTATGAAATAGGCGGATTAAAGTAAATTTTATCATTTTGTAGAAAATTTAATCAAGTTTCAACAATAACTAAAAGAATCCCAAATTAATAACCAATTGAGATATCATTATGAAATAGGCGGATTAAAGTAAATTTTATCATTTTGTAGAAAATTTAATCAAGTTTCAACAATAACTAAAAGAATCCCAAATTAATAACCAATTGAGATATCATTATGAAATAGGCGGATTAAAGTAAATTTTATCATTTTGTAGAAAATTTAATCAAGTTTCAACAATAACTAAAAGAATCCCAAATTAATAACCAATTGAGATATCATTATGAAATAGGCGGATTAAAGTAAATTTTATCATTTTGTAGAAAATTTAATCAAGTTTCAACAATAACTAAAAGAATCCCAAATTAATAACCAATTGAGATATCATTATGAAATAGGCGGATTAAAGTAAATTTTATCATTTTGTAGAAAATTTAATCAAGTTTCAACAATAACTAAAAGAATCCCAAATTAATAACCAATTGAGATATCATTATGAAATAGGCGGATTAAAGTAAATTTTATCATTTTGTAGAAAATTTAATCAAGTTTCAACAATAACTAAAAGAATCCCAAATTAATAACCAATTGAGATATCATTATGAAATAGGCGGATTAAAGTAAATTTTATCATTTTGTAGAAAATTTAATCAAGTTTCAACAATAACTAAAAGAATCCCAAATTAATAACCAATTGAGATATCATTATGAAATAGGCGGATTAAAGTAAATTTTATCATTTTGTAGAAAATTTAATCAAGTTTCAACAATAACTAAAAGAATCCCAAATTAATAACCAATTGAGATATCATTATGAAATAGGCGGATTAAAGTAAATTTTATCATTTTGTAGAAAATTTAATCAAGTTTCAACAATAACTAAAAGAATCCCAAATTAATAACCAATTGAGATATCATTATGAAATAGGCGGATTAAAGTAAATTTTATCATTTTGTAGAAAATTTAATCAAGTTTCAACAATAACTAAAAGAATCCCAAATTAATAACCAATTGAGATATCATTATGAAATAGGCGGATTAAAGTAAATTTTATCATTTTGTAGAAAATTTAATCAAGTTTCAACAATAACTAAAAGAATCCCAAATTAATAACCAATTGAGATATCATTATGAAATAGGCGGATTAAAGTAAATTTTATCATTTTGTAGAAAATTTAATCAAGTTTCAACAATAACTAAAAGAATCCCAAATTAATAACCAATTGAGATATCATTATGAAATAGGCGGATTAAAGTAAATTTTATCATTTTGTAGAAAATTTAATCAAGTTTCAACAATAACTAAAAGAATCCCAAATTAATAACCAATTGAGATATCATTATGAAATAGGCGGATTAAAGTAAATTTTATCATTTTGTAGAAAATTTAATCAAGTTTCAACAATAACTAAAAGAATCCCAAATTAATAACCAATTGAGATATCATTATGAAATAGGCGGATTAAAGTAAATTTTATCATTTTGTAGAAAATTTAATCAAGTTTCAACAATAACTAAAAGAATCCCAAATTAATAACCAATTGAGATATCATTATGAAATAGGCGGATTAAAGTAAATTTTATCATTTTGTAGAAAATTTAATCAAGTTTCAACAATAACTAAAAGAATCCCAAATTAATAACCAATTGAGATATCATTATGAAATAGGCGGATTAAAGTAAATTTTATCATTTTGTAGAAAATTTAATCAAGTTTCAACAATAACTAAAAGAATCCCAAATTAATAACCAATTGAGATATCATTATGAAATAGGCGGATTAAAGTAAATTTTATCATTTTGTAGAAAATTTAATCAAGTTTCAACACGCGAAAAATTATTAAATAAAAAGCATTTTAAAGCAAATTAAATGAATATTAATTAAGATGAACATGGTGTCTTTATTACTACAAATCTGTCTGTTATGATTTTTTTAATTCATTTCTACACATTTACTTATCGCCTCAAATCAAAAATCATATCTCAGAAAGTAATTGAGATATCAAGATGATTTAATCGCCATTTTGTAGCAAATTTAATCAAGTTTCAACACACCAAAAATTATTTCTTCGTTTCAATAAACTCCAGTGGTACGAGTTTTTAAATCCAACTCAGCGTCTATTGAGATCAACTAGATGAATATGTCATTCACAACGTCGTATCTCAAGAACGAATTGAGATACAGTTATGAAATAAAAACCATTTTAAAGCAGATTAAATGAACATTAATTAAGATAAAAATGATTTCTTTATTACTACAAATCTGTCTGCTATGATTTTTTTAAGTCGTCTCTACACATTTACTTATCGCCTCAAATCAAAAATCATATCTCAGAAAGTAATTGTGATATCAAGATGATTTAATCGCCATTTTGTAGCAAATTTAATCAAGTTTCAACACACCAAAAATTATTTCTTCGTTTCAATAAACTCCGGTGGTACGATTTTTTAAATCCAACTCCGCGTCTATTGAGATCAACTAGATAAATATGTCATTTACAACGTCGTATCTCAAAAACGAATTGAGATACAGTTATGAAATAAAAACCATTTTAAAGCAAATTAAATGAATATTAATTAAGATAAGAATGATTTCTTTATTACTACAAATCTGTCCGTTATGATNCGTGTCTTTAACTATAGGCGATCAAGAGCCCGTAGAATGGTGGAGTGCTCGTTTGGCATATTAGCTGGCAAATGGAGGATACTGAATAAGTCTTGAATTATCCGATATCATTATAAAAGCATGCTGCATTCTCCACAATTTTGTTAGGAAGCACGATGGAGTTTGTTTCGAAGATAGTTTGTACGAATGTCATTTAGATAACATGAATCCCGTTGGAACAAGAGGTATTGTGATATCATTATGAAATAGGCAGATTAAAGTAAATTTTATCATTTTATAGAAAATTTAATCAAGTTTCAACACGCGAAAAATTATTTCTTCGTTTCGATAAACTCAAAAAACGAATTGAGATACAGTTATGAAATAAAAACCATTTTAAAGCAAATTAAATGAACATTAATTAAGATAAAAATGATTTCTTTATTACTACAAATGTGACCGTTATGATTTTTTTAATTCATCTCTACACATTTACTTATCGCCTCAAATCAAAAATCATATCTCAGAAAGTAATTGAGATATCAAGGTGATTTAGTCGCCAGTTTATAGCAAATTTAATCAAGTTTCAACACACCAAAAATTATTTTTTCGTTTCAATAAACTTCGGTGGTATGAGTTTTTAAATCCAACTCTGCCGCTATTGAGATCAACTAGATAAATATGTCATTTACAACGTTGTATCTCAAGAACGAATTGAGATACAGTTATGAAATAAAAACCATTTTAACGCAACTTAAATGAATATTAATCAAGATAAGAATAATTTCTTTATTACTACAAATGTAATCGTTATGATTTTTTTAATTCATCTCTACACATTTACTTATCGCCTCAAATCGAAAGTCATATCTCAGAAAGTAATTAAGATATCAAGATGATTTAATCGCCATTTTGTAGCAAATTTAATCAAGTTTCAACACACCAAAAATTATTTCTTCGTTTCAATAAACTCCGGTGGTACGATTTTTTATATCCAACTCGCGTCTATTGAGATCAACTAGATAAATATGTCATTTACAACGTCGTATCTCAAGAACGAATTGAGATACAGTTATGAAATAAAAACCATTTTAAAGCAAATTAAATGAATATTAATTAAGATAAAAATGATTTCTTTATTACTACAAATCTGTCTGTTATGGTTTTTTTAATTCACCTCTACACATTTACTTATCGCCTCAAATCAAAAATCATATCTCAGAAAGTAATTGAGATATCAAGATGATTTAGTCGCCATTTTGTAGCAAATTTAATCAAGTTTCAACACGCGAAATATTATTTCTTCGTTTCAATAAACTCCGGTGGTACGATTTTTTAAATCCAACTCGGCGTCTATTGAGATCAATTAGATGAATATGTCATTTACAACGTCGTATCTCAAGAACGAATTGAGATACAGTTATGAAATAAAAACCATTTTAAAGCAAATTAAATGAATATTAATTAAGATAAGAATGATTTCTTTATTACTACAAATGTGACCGTTATGATTTTTTTAATTCATGGCTACACATTTACTTATCACCTCAAATCGAAAATCATATCTCAGAAATTAATTGAGATACCAAGATGATTTAATCGCCATTTTGTAGCAAATTTAATCAAGTTTCAACACACCAAAAATTATTTCTTCGTTTAAATAAACTCCGGTGGTACGATTTTTTAAATCCAACGTCGCCTTTATTGAAATCAACTAGATAAATAGGTCATTTACAACGTCGTATCTCAAGAACGAATTGAGATACAGTTATGAAATAAACACCATTTTAAAGCAAATTAAATGAATATTAATTAAGATAAAAATGATTTATTTATTACTACAAATCTATCCGTTATGATTTTTTTAAGTCATCTCTACACATTTACTTATCACCTCAAATTGAAAATCATATCTCAGAAAGTAATTGAGATATCAAGATGATTTAATCGCCGTTTTGTAGCAAATTTAATCAAGTTTCAACACACCAAAAATTATTTCTTCGTTTCAATAAACACCGGTGGTACGATTTTTTAAATCCAACTGGGCGTCTATTGAGATCAACTAGATGAATATGTCATTTACAACGTCGTATCTCAAGAACGAATTGAGATACAGTTTTGAAATAAAAACCATTTTAAAGCAAATTAAATGTATATTAATTAAGATAAAAATGATTTCTTTATTACTACAAATTTATCTGTTATGATTTTTTTAATTCGCCTCTACACATTTACTTGTCATCTCAAATCAAAAATCATATCTCAGGAAGTAATTGAGATATCAA